GATTGATCTTTTTAACAAGTGTTGTGGGAGAGTACAGTTGCAATCTATTTTGACTCTTTCTTTGGGTTTGACTAATAGGTTAGTCATATTATACAGATACAGTCCAACTTTGTATTCTGAGAGACTCGAGTACTGGCTCATGTTTTGACTGCTGAAGGTGTATGCATTTTTTCCTTTGACATTTTCTCACAGTTTATGATGTGCCTCTCTGATATTATAAAAGCAAAGAAGATATGCTTGCTGAGGTAGGGATGCTAGATGGTGAGAACAAGTTATTGTCTTGGGTTAGTGTTTTAGTTTATAAGCTTTGTTTTTTTATCTATCTATTTTTCATTGAGAAGTAGACGCTTGAGCAGATTTTAAATTTTGTTTCTTTCTCTTTATATTTCTTCCTAAGAAGATTTGGTTGATGGTCTTGAACGTTCGGGGAAGCAAATGTGTATTAGAAGTTTTTGGTCAATTCGTTAACTAAACCAGACAATCTTCTTGGTTTGTTATTTCCAGGTTCAGTTCGTTTTAATCCATTCTCTCTAATAAAAAGTTACTTATTTTTATGACTTGGTTTATTGACAATTATCTTGCCTTACCTATTTCAGGTTTTTGAAGGCTTTGGAGATCTCGCATATGGTAAATATTTTGTTCTTTAGATTTTTGGAGTCAGAGTAGTGGTATTACTTCCCTGAAAAAATGGTTTTGGAGATTTTTACGCTTATGATTCAATGGGTATTTGTCATCATCAGACAGTACACTGAAGCGAAAAGAACTGTTAGGGAGAGGCCAGAGAAAGCGAGAAGATCTATAATGGAGAGGCCAGAGAGATATATAGACTGAAAATTCTTATCATGGACAAACATAGGAAAATTTAGAGTAAATAGCTTAGATATATGTAGGTTTAGAAAGAATTAAGAACTGTGTTTCTATGTTTCATATAAAATATGTTTGCCACCTCTAAGCTGGTATCTAATATATGTTTTCTTTCTTTCATGGTATAGGTTTTTAGTTAATAAAAAACATTTTACACGGTTAAAAATGAAATTTATATTTGAAAATGGAATTTTTCCTCATCATATGTAGTTAAATCTTTGATAAATGAAAAGATAAAACCGTATATATGTTTATAAACCTATTTAAAAAGGAAAACGCGTGTATGATAATCTAGAAAGAATATACTATAATATTGATGCTTATCTTACGAAAAATGTCAAAACGCCTAAACCTAAATCTCTTTCTGTATAAATAGTTGTGTTTCACTCTATTCACGACTTGTGAGTTTTCGTGTTTGTTCTAAAAGTTTAGCTATTTTCTTTTCTTTATGTGCTCTTATTTTTATCGTATTATAATCAGAAGAAGAAGATGTTGAAAACAGATAAAAAAATCGAAGAAGACAAACAGGATAAATAAGAATAAGTGTAAGTCAGTCAAAGACGGTGAAGAGAAAGATGGAAAAAAATGAAAGATAATATGAAGGTGAAGATCACAAAGTATGAGAATGTGAATATGAAGGAGACTAAGAAAAACTATAAGAAATTAGGTAATATAGATACACAGAATAACAAAGAATGATAAAGATAAGGATATAAGGAAGATAAAAAAGAAGAAGAAATCTGAAAGATGACAGAAAACAAGAAGAATAATTAGAAAATCAAAAGATGTTGTAGAGAAACTATAAGAAGATGAATATGAGGAATACGAATTCATATAAGATAAAGAAATATGGGAAGTAAACAGAAAACAAAAAAAAAAGAAGGAATTCAGAGAATAAAAGACGAAGAATTACCAAAAAATAAAGAAGAATACGCAGATTAAGTCAAAATAGAAGAAAATGAATACATACACGAGGTAAGTAAGAATAAGAGAAAGAAGACAAATAAGAAGAAGAAGTCTAAGACGATCAAGAGGAAGCTGATAAACAAAAATAAAAGATGAAGAAAATGAGAAAGAAGAAAAAGACGAAGTTGACTAAGAGGTATTTTAGAAAATACAAAGACCAAGAAGTTGAAGATGAGGAAAGAGACCAAAAGATGAAGATGACAAAGTATGAGAATATGAAGATAAGAAAGGATGCTAAGATAAACAAGAATAATATAAGTACCAAAAAATAAAAATAATCTGAATCAAGGAATGTGGATAGCATGAAATAACGAAGAATAATAAGCATAAAAAGATGAGGAAGTTGAAGAAAAATGAGAAAAAGCGGGAAGATGAAGAAAACAAAGTATACAAAAAAGAAAATTGCAAGATGATGTAATCAAAGTATAAGAAGGTGAAGATGAGGTATAAGAATTTAAATAAGATAAAGAATATAAAAAAGATGAGAAGAAAAATTGGAAGAATAAAAAAATAAGCAGAAAAGTTAGAGAATACGAATATGGTAAAAATGATGAAATTGAAGAGGTAAAATGCGAGGAAGCAAAAAATCTGAAAGATTAAGAAGAAGAAGCAAATAAAAACGAAGTAAAAGTGAAAGAATACATAGACAAGATAAATAAGAATAAGATAAATTAAAGGAAAAAATGAAGAAAACCAGCAGGAAAAAAGGAAGAAGTTGAAGAAGACAAGAGGATAAAAAAGAAGTAGAAGTTGAAGACGAGGAAGAGGAAGATGAAAAAAATGAAAGATCAAGAAGATAAATTGATAATATATATCCGCATACAAAGCTAATAAAGATGAATATATATTCGCATACAAAGCTAATAAAGATGAATTTTTAAAATACAAGGACAAAGACATTGAAGCTGAGAAAGGAGACCAGAAGATGAAAATGACAAAGTATAAGAATGTGAAGATGAATAAAAATACTAAATAAAACCAAAAGAATAAGAAGACGAAAAAAAGACAAATACGATGAGCTATGGAAGATCGATAGCATAAAATAGAAAAATAATAAAATAAAAGGATGAGGAAGTTGAAGAAGAAGAGAAAACCGGAAGATGTAGAAAAAAAGTAGACAAAGAAGAAAATCAGAAGTGATGTAAAGTAAGTACAAAAATATGAAGATGAGTGATAAATAAGACAAAGAATATCAAAAAAAAAGGAGTAGTAAAAATTGAAAAAAATAAAGATAAAAAAGAAACTAGAGAATACGATAATAGTAATGATGAAAAAAAATAAAGAAAATATGATTGGTAAATTTGGTTTAATATTTACTTTATTTGAAAATACTGATAGTTTTTTATATATTTAATATATCGTAATAATGATTGCATACTTTGATATTATGTAAAATTATGAATGGATTGAAAGAACCATATTATATTTATTTAAAATATATATGGATATATAATATTAAGACTAATATACATAATAATTTCATAATTCCATTTCCACTTTGAGAACATATATATACAATTGATTATAATGAAAATTTTGAATCAAAAGTATAGTTTTTATAAAAAATTTAAAAAACTGTATGACAGCGCATGGTATGAAAATTGAAAGTAATTGTACAAGCTAATTATCTATAAATTCAATTTATAATTTTGAATGTAATTTTAAAACTATTAAAAATAATTATCTATAATAATTCTTTCGTCTGATTAAAAGATTTTAAAATTCAGAATAATAAAAAAAAAATTTAACATTAGGGTTGCTGTTTAACTAGAGAAAAAAAGGTCAAACAAAAGTGTCAACCATTTATCACCTTACATATCCAAAATAAAAGAAAACTGAAAATGAATTTGATAGATTCAATGGCTAGGAAAAATATGTGAGTGATCAAAAAAGTAGTCATCTTCAATACTGACAAAATCATCTGTGTAGTCTAGCATGCAAGAACAAGATAAATAATGAGTCGAACATTCAACCATTTCATTTAGGAAATTTACAAAATGATACCGGTAAACAATGCTTGCATAAAATGAGAATTTTCGACTTCAGAAATTGGAGGATCAAACAATATTTTAGAGAATTCTCGGCCAGAACATACACATATTTCATCTGCACAAAATGAAAAATTATATTAACTACAATTGATATACGTTGATATATGGTTGATCGCGAGAATGAAAAATCACCTCCATAACGACACATCTCCCAAAATCTCAATACACAGAAAACGATATTGCGACGAAAGGTGTTTTTTAATAGGGATTCAAAATGTTCAGCTTCTATGCCCCACGCTATGCAATTGATGTCGAGACCCCTAAAAACCAGAATTAAGATGTGATTTTCCTTAATATCGAGAATACGATAGTAAATGTTTATATATGTATTAGTCTTTATTGTCTTAAATAATTTATATATCATGTTTGTGAATATTTTATCATGTTTATCATTGACATTAAACTCTCTGATTTTACTAATTTATAGCGGTCGTCGTTTACAAGTGCATCTAGATGGTGATCACTCAGAATTTTTTTTAGGATCTCTACTTAATTGCAAACAACCTATTGTCATCTGTGTTTTAAAATTTGTAAAGGTAATCTAAGTGCATGACATCTGGATTGTTACAACAGCCTTCAAATGTAGTAAAGTTTTGATTGATCCTCCATTCCCCGAAATTCACCGATTCAAAAATCTTAATTTAGAGACTTAGACATAGATATTTTTTCTGAAGGAATATTTATTAAAGTTTGTTTCATTACTATCTAAAATACCATTTTTGCTATATTTGATCAATATTAATGGTATAATTTCATTTTATTATTGTAAATAAGTGTTGTTCATCTTAAAAAGATGATATATACTGAAAGTTTAACAAGAAATATTATACAATTTAACTATTATCCTTAAACTCAAATATAAAAATATTATACAACTTCTTAAATATATAAAATCCGCGCTTAGCGCGAACAATCACCTAGTTATTAAGTAAATATATTTGATCATAAATTACCAGCGTGTTGACGCGCGCGTTTGTTTCTTAGTTCACATAATGGGACAGATAAATTATAACAGATGTATATAAAAAACATGATATGTGATAGGGAGAGAAGAGACTAGATCATACATAAGATGAGTTATCTATGATGTGCCCAAAAAAGAAAAAGATGTGAGTTAAATATGTTTTTTTATTCCCTTCTGTTTAATTTTAGTGGGTTAAAAGTGAATACTTCATCCTCTGTATTTTCCAACTCTTATCTCTACGTGTTCGCAAACATCACCATTAGATGATAAGTAGAAGACAAAACTTACAGCCAAATAGCCAAAACTTATCTCTCTCCAAAACATTTGGTCCATACGATAAAGCAAGAAGAAGAATTAAGAAGACGAGGAAGAAGAAGAACAAGATGAAGCATGAAATGAGGAACATCAAGCCTCGATGGATAACACTCTTCTTTCTTCTCTTTGGTTTGCTTCTTGGAAATTGTGCAGTTCAAGGTCTCATCCTTTCCACACATGTCTTCGTTTTCCATTTTCTTAGTTACAACTTACAATATATTAATCTACATCAATATTCGTAACAGTAATACTATTATAATTATTGTTATTTTTAAAATTCTCCTATATGTGTCAGCCTCAAGAGCTCGTGTTATCGCAGATACGGTCTCACTTCCCTCACAAATACATCGCCTGGTAAATTCCCATAGAGAGATATTTTGTTTTTTCAGTAATTACTTGAAGGAAACAATAAATTTTATAGTTGATTTAGTTGTATAATAATATAGTAGTTTGTATGTATGACAATATTTTAATGCAGAATTTTTTTTTGAACATTTAAATATTTTTATGCAGAATTTAAGGAGGCTTATGATAGGATCGACGGCTCCAACTTGTACTTACAATGAGTGCAGAGGATGTAGATACAAATGCAGAGCTGAGCAAGTCCCGGTCGAAGGCAATGATCCTATCAACAGTGCTTATCATTATAGATGTGTTTGTCATAGATAATAATGATAATCTTTTCTTTTTGCACTTCCACTGCAATTTTTGTATCGAGTTAATTGCATTTTCTCTTTTAAACGAGATATTTTGGTCAACATTATTGCTTCATCTTTTTCAATTTATAGGATGTCGTAGAGATTTTTACTTGATTTTTGTTTTTTGTTTCTATGCCAATATTTTTTTTTTAATCATGCAGTGTATTTTCGTATCCATTGAAATCACTTAACTTCTTATGTTCTTATGTAAAGGGAGATTAAAAAAACTTGTGTTGTTTTTGAAATCTCGAGCTTTCACACAAAACTTCTTATAAAACCGAACTAGTATGTTAATTATTAGTATTTCCCATTTTATGTTAGCCTCTTTTTAAAGCATGTGTTGGTCTTGATGATGATGATATGGTGATGATACTAAAATTGGGGTTTGTGGGTGTAGAGGCATATAAGTGTGTTCAAAAATCGCAGGGAAAAATCACATGCTCATGTGGTCCAGATCTAATACATAGGTCAAGAAAGGATCACATGAGCGAACTAGAGTTGGCATGTTTGTAATTTTAGCTCCCTCTCTTTTGTTCTGTTTCCCATAAGAAAATAGGCGTTAAAGGCCTTTGTTCCATTAGGATCAATAGAATGTTACAGAATGTTATGTTCCTTCCTCTTTTTTGTTTCCTCGCATCGCATGAGGATCAAAACGCTTTTTCTTTAGAGCTGTTTGGTGTTAGACTTTGAAGACTTTATAGGTTCACAGCTTTTTTTTTGACCAAACATGTTTTTTTTTTTATTTTTTTTTTTTTAATATAAATAACTCAGTGTACATCTCAGATCTGATCTATGGAAGGACTCAGACTAATCCCTAGTGCAGCCCATGGATAGACTTTTTCTCTGGATATTCAAATGGGCTGAAAAAAAAGGCTCATATCCATGTAAGTGTCCAAGAATAATGTATTATAGTTTCGTATAACAGGTGGATCGAACTTGAAACGTGTTGGCGTCACAAATCCATCTCATTACCACTTGACCACAAAACCTTGAATCATCTCCTAAATTTTTTTTGTTATTTTTTTAGTTGCAATTTTATTTACAAGCTAAAGAATATTTACAAGCATCTCCTCTAGCTTGTAAACAAAATTGCAACGAAACAGTAAAAAAAAAAGTTAAGGATGTAAAGGATTTTAGAGACTTTGAACTAATTTTGGGAAAACACAAGTGTGTTTGGTGAAACTACTAAAGATTTAAAACTTTTAAAAGCCTAATCTCCAAGTAGCCCCTTATTTTTTTTTATATATCGAAAAAGTCTTTTGTAACACTGCTAAAATTTAACTAATAATACATACCTAAAATCTTTTTTTATTATTATTATCTATTCAGATGTATAGATCATAAACAAATAAACAATGCTTATCATTATATGTGTTTATAAGGATTAAAATACAATTTTCAAATTAAGTTCTAAAAGTCTAATTCGCAAGCAGCCCTTAATCTTTTTTATTAATATGAATTTTTTTTTTGTAACGGCCCTACAATTTCAAAACTTCTTTGAAAACGTCACTTAATTAATAAAAATAAAATACTAAAATTTAACTTCAAAATCCAAAATCCTAATCAAAACAAAAATCCAAAAACAATATAGTATTGATAAAGAAATCTTGCTTTAAATCCCTGAAAAGCTACAAACTTTTTAAACTGATCAGTTTAACACAAATTGTGTGTTTTTCTTCCTCTTTAATATTTGGGTATTAAAATAAGTCTTGTGGGCTGATACCGTTTGGGTTGATGGTCTTAGTTTGCAACAAAGACGTTACGGTATATGAGTGGAGGTGACTGTAATCCTCTGATTTCTCAAATACAGTGATGCATGTGGAGAGATGATGAGGACATCGAAACAAGCACCACACAAGCCGATGAAAAGCTGATAACAATACCAACTATGAGGCCCGCATCAAGGACAAGGTCAGGCACTAAGAGCTTAAAAGAGGATTTTAACAAATCAATAGAGGGGCTGATCACGCTCATAGATCATGAAAAACTCAAAGAGAAGCTACTCAAAGGGGTGATCACTTGAGAAGCACCAATGGAGCCAGTAACCCAGTTCAACACCTTAGAGACACAAGACTTGGAGATCACGGCAGGATCAAACTGTGTGGAGCTTAAAGACCTTCAAGAATTCAAGGACACCAAAGAAACGCCAAACAATGACTACTCTCAAATTAAGCTTCAAGCTATACTATTTTTGCCGGTCTTACAAGGCAACAAGGAAGCAGCATTGTTTGTCATTGCCAAACAAGTGGAAGCTCCACTCTCCGAACCAATGTGAGTATTTACATTACAGGTTATTCTCACAAGTTTCTTGTTTGTTTTGCAGACACTTTTTCCTTAGTCGTTTTAGAGTTTTAGTAGTTTTTCCATTTTTTTTCTTTTAAGTGAAACGATAGGTTTAGTACTTTCCTTTTTGTAACAATTTCGGCCAAAAGAAGCCACCAGGTGTCGAACCATTATATAAGGTTCCTTCTCAGCTTGTAAATTTTAAACTTTGATTAATAAAATACCCGGCTTTTCTTAGAAAACAAAACTCTAGCCGCAGCTAGTTCTGTCTCTTCTTCTCTGGTGTGATTCCTTTGAGGCTGAGATACAAGACTTATCATAGAGTTTCCATCCTCTGTGTGACGTCTCTCAATCTATTGGGATTAAGGGATTTTCGATGGGGATTTATATGTTCGATGAAGATTCCATGAGCTTTTGAGCCGAATCTTAGAACTTTTTCTTCTGAATTCGTTTTTACTGCATGAGAGTAGCGTCATGAACTACAATCTGATCCAGATGCTTGGTGACACGAAAGTGTTCATCAGTTATCAGATCTAGTTTGGGAGAGCAAAACAAACATAGGAGTGGAAACCTACCTATGGGCGATTTGTGAATTAGGACGAGTCTTAAACATAATGCATCTCTTCTCTTCCAGGGCCAGAGTGGAAACCTACTGGTCAGGGTTGAGAGAGATAGTTGTCTATGATCACGACAGTGGCGTATTCATACGTCCGTGACTCCAGTTCGAAAAGTTTAAGCTAAAATCTTACCAATTTACTCTCTAGCAATGTTTTGAATCGTTCGTACCCCTGAGAAAACTTCCCTGAAGCCCAACGCCTTCTTTCCCATTGATTTACACTGTTTTTTCTTTTAAGCTTTAGTTCAATATTGTCTTTCCTTTTTAGTAGATTTTCATTTAAGCAATTAGAATATCCGTTTTTCTCATTTTTATTCATTTTCGTTAAGTTTAGTTATTACGCCATTTAATTTCCATATTCTCTTTTAATATTTCGTTTTTACATTTTAAACACACTACCAAACCCCCACAAAACCGTTTTGGTTCTAGACTTCCTTACTTTATACTTATTTCAAAGGCTTTTTGCAGGAAAATATCCTTCTTCCCTGTGGATTCGATCCCTAAGTACTACAATCGATCAGCTGTGCACTTGCGGCTATTGATTTCATTTAGGGTAAAACTTGACAACTCTCGACACAACCACATCAAGTCACCATCAGTGATTGAGGGCTCGGCCACGGTCATGTTCACGGTGCCGCGGTCAATGCACCCTTGGCCGCGGGTCGAACGGTCGCGACCGCGGCTCTTCTTCCTGCGGCCTATTGTCCAATCTTCTCGTTTTTGCCGGGCCGAGCGGCTAAAAACCTACCTTTTCTTCTTGGTTTTTCTAATTTTCTGATTTTTTTGTGTTTTTGTTTTATAACATACCTAAAACTTAAAAAGAAAAAGAAAGCATAAATTGTAAAAAGAAAAAGAAAACTAAAAGAAAGAGTACCTAAATGGGTTGCCTCCCATTAAGCGCTTTTGTTTTAAGTCGTTTAGCTCGACGTAAGCATTAGGAATCAGGCTGATTTAAATGGCACTCCACTTGATGTGCCTTTATTACTTCCAGTTGCTGGAGGTTTTACTTCTTCTCCTTGAGGAGCCGTCTTCTTCCCTTTATTCTTCTTTCGGACTTTAATGTTGTTCGAAACCCTTTCTGTATTTTCGATCAGCTCCTGGATTTGGTCCTCAGTAGTTTCTGTTGCATCTGGTGGAATGATGATCTTGATCTTTGCAAAAGCTTTCGGCTTCTCCTTTTCTTTCTCTTTTGGCCTGTTTCCTTTGCTTGGAAATTCATCTAAGATAGTAGGATAGTACCTTTTTCTGTCCACATTGAGGAAAACAGCATGCCGGTTTGCGTGATCGATAATTGCTCCCAGTGTAGCTAGGAATGGTCTCCCGATAATGAGTGGCCTCTCCTTGTCTTTATCCATCTCCAGGACTTGGAAATCTGCTGGAACAATCTTATCTCCCACTAGAACTTGTAGATCATGAATCGCCCCTTTAGTATCTTTTTGAGATGAATCTCCAAAGATAACCTTAACCGTCGATGTCCTTAAGGTTTTTATGCCCAATTTTTCGGCAAATGCCTTAGACATGATGTTGACATTGGCTCCAGAATCGCACGAGCAGTCTGTAAACTTGATTCCTGAAATGAAACACTGGAAAATAAAACGTCCCGGATCATCGGCTTTGGTAAGCCTTTGAAACGGTGATCGTTCAGGTACCTTAAACGGTGGCTGCTTGGGATCGATATCCTTGTACAGTGGTACAAAGATTGGGGTTTCTTCTTTCTTTCCATCGGTTCCGGCCTCTTCTTCGGGCAATGTGGTTATGGCATTGCAAAACTTCTTAGGGTTATCTTCAACTCTTCCTGGAAGAACTCCACTTTGCCTCTTTATAGAGTCGGTTGTTTGGGCGACTTGCACATCTAACTTTTTTACGTGCGAAGATAAAGATTCAAACTTACCATTCAGATCATTGTACATGCAGTCCACTTTCACGTTCACGTCTTTAGATGCTTTTTCGTTCGTCTTAACAAGCTGTTGGATTGACTGTTCAAGTCTATCGATTTGTGAAGCTAGCTGGTTTGTCGTGACTCCCTGCTGTTGTACAAATTGATTGTTAAAACCCGTACCTTGGTACTTATATGGCTGTCGCGGTTGATACGGTACTATTCCCCCAAAGTTTCCACCTTGAAACTTGTTTTGGAAGGATTTTTGCTGAGGTGGGTTGTACTGATCTTGAGGATTCTCCACATTTGGATTGCGGTAAGAGAGATTGTTGTAATTTGCATTCCGGAAGTTGTTGTTGAAGTTGTTGTTGGAGCGATTTTGGTATGGCACCAGTGCTCCTACGTAGTTCACATCTTCTTCTTGAAATGCTTGATTAATGTGATCGATATCACTAGGTCCTTCATCTTCTGCGCCATTGTTGGTTTCACATGCATGGATCGGGCGATTGTTGCTCTTCAGAAGCTTGCTCACCATGTTCTTCAACTCAGTTATCTCCTTGTTGTCTGTTCCGGCTTGCTTCATCGATCGATCGTATTCAGGACAGTCATTGCTATTGGTTTGAGCCAAATTTTCGATGAGAGCTCTTCCTTGGGTTATCGTCTTTTGCCCAAAATCTCCATTGCTAGCTGTATCAAGTGAAAGTTTGTATTTTGGTTGCAAACCTCGGTAAAATGTGCTCAGCAGGCTTGATCCATGAAATTCATGGTGAGGGCAATCACGTTCATACTCCTTAAAACGTTCCCAAGCTTCATAGAAAGATTCAGTTGGTCCTTGTTGAAAGGTTGAGATCTTCGTTCTCAAATTGTTCGACCTTGACTTAGCGTAGAAGTGGTTTAGGAAAGTAGTTCTACATTCTTCCCAATTGGTAATCGATCCTGCAGGCAAATACTTCAACCAACGGTGAGCTTTATCTGCTAATGAAAAAGGGAACAACTTACACTTCAAATAGTCAGGTGGAACTTGGTTTGTTTTCATCATGCTGCAAATTTCTTCAAAAAGCTCGATATGGTCCATTGGGTGCTCAGAAGGAACTCCATGGAACTGGTTTTGCTTCACCAATGAGATGATTGGAGGCTTGACTTCAAACTCATTCCGGTTTGGAAATGGTACTTGAATTGCAGATCGATTCTGAAAATTTTGAGTAGGTGCATCAAAATCAGCTATGTGATGGTTCCTGGCTTGTCTTCGGTGTTGATTTGCTGGCGGAATGGGGCAGTGAATGCGTTCATTCGGCTGCATTGCTGGGTAGTCACCATTGGGTGCATTGATGGGTGGATCAAGGTCTTCACGTCCTTCTCTCTCTCGGTTCTGGTGGTTTCTTGGAAGAACCTCATCCTCCTCTCCATCTTGTCGAGCATGATCACCTTCTATGTGATCATTCTCTTCGTTTTCTCCATGTTCGGACCGTCTTGGTCCATATTTAAATTTCGATTAATAGGATCTCCAGGCTGGTCGTCGTTGGCCATTCCTTGCGTTCGTCTAAGTCTTCGAAGTTCTCTTTCGTGTCTGCCTATCTCGTCTAGAATTGGAATGTCTCCTGCAGGTCTACGACTGGTATTCATGCAATTCAGAGAAAAACAAAAGAAGGGAAAGATAGTTCAGAAAAACTTTAAGAAAGAACTAGAGATCAGGTGTCTAGAACAGAAGTTAAAACAAGAAAAATAGGAAAAGGCAGCGAAACAAATCCCCGGCAACGGCGCCAAAAACTTGATGGTCGTGTCAACTGCGTGAGGGAACAAGTTTTACCCTTAACAAAACAAATGAAAGCCGCAAGTGCACAGCTGATCAGTTGTAGTATTTAGGGATCGAATCCACAGAGATTTGTGTGCCTGGTATTCTTCTACGGTTTTTTAAACTTTATGTCTAGACTAAATTGGTTTTAAAGGTTGGTTGTTTTTCTTGCGAATTAAACTAAAACAAAAGAAAGCAAATAAATCTATCCTAAAAAGCAGGTAAGAAAATCGAATGAAATGCAATTAGAATAAGCAAATATCGAATGAAAGACTAATAAGGCAAGTAAAATATCGCATGAAAGGTAAATAAAGCAAGTAAATAATGAACTAAGGAAATTGAAATGCAGGTCTAAGAAAGCAAGTAAAAATTGATGGAATTGTAAACTATGGCTAAAAACGTAGAGCTTTTGGGAACTCTAAGGGATCATAATCAGTTTTAACACTAAGGTAGATAGATTGGGATTGACAGATAACGATATATGACTTCTAGAGCTAGAGTACGGCGGTATGACTACGTCACTGTCGTGATCATAACCAACTGTTTCTCGCAACCCTGACCAGTAGGTTTCCACTCTGGCCCTGGAAGGGAGAGAACGCAAGAGCTGCACAAGACTCGTCAATACTCACGATCTCGCTGCAGGTAGGTTTATCGCCTGTTTCATTCTAGGGCTGATACTTAATGAAAACTTTCGCAACACTAACTATCTAGATCAGATACTAGGTGATCAATCAAGCATACATGCAATAAGAACAAGAATAAACAGAGAACAGGTCGAAATCCCAGATCTATAAACCTAGATGTCTTAATCGATTATGAGAGCCCCTTTCGGGAACCCTAAGCCCAACTCGGGATCTACTCAGACAT